CTATTTATCAATCTGTAATAAAATACGTGAGGAAATTCTGTCTTTTTTAAAGACAAACATTTTTGAGGCGAAATACCCAAAAAGAAGTTTGTAAAGAGTTTTTTATGTTTAGTTAATTTGATGAATTTTGAACTTTATCGTTTACATCTTCAAAACGGTTGAACACCGCTCAAGATAACTTCTAGCGGGTTTTTCAATGCGTTTGATACATTCTTCGCTTGCTTGTGAAGAAATTGATGTAGCATTCAGAGCATTTTGAGAAAAATTATGTTTAAAAAAAAATCGACCCCAACCATTAGGAAATTTTTTCCCACAAATCAAATTTTCACATGAGCTTGATCTTCTGATTCTGAGCTGAATCCATTCCATTCGATGTAAGAAGCTTACAAATATGCATTAATAAAGCTATTGAGTCAATAAAATGGAAATCGTCTGTTAAAGGTCGCGAACTATCAAAAAACAGCTTAAAGTGAGCCGAAAATGTCGATTATCTCGGATCTGATACTTCTAGCGTGTTTTTCAATGAGTTTGTTACATTCCTCGCTTCCTTGAGAGGAAATTGATATGGAATTAAGGCATTTTCAGAAAATTTATATAAAATAAAATCGACCCCAACCCTCAGAAAAATTTTGCACATAAATCAAAATTTTACATGAGTGTTTTCTGAGCTCAATTCATTCCACTCGATGTAAAAAGCTCACAAATGTACGTATGTATCTTGAGCGGAGCTTTGCAACTTGTAGGCGAAACTGACGAAGTTTCTTGGAAACCGTCGTCAATTCTAGTGAGACGGAATAGCCCTTTGAACAGGGCGTTTCGAGATATATTTTTCCACCTGAAAGGTCAAGCGCACTTTCTATTCAAATTTTTGAGCGTTCCTGCGACACTGTTGGAAATATTCAGCATTGCTCTTATTTTTTGTCACTTATTGAGCTTCTTCGGCATGTCGCAGTTGTAATCTTTGCGTGGAAATCGCTTGCTGGGCGCTCGAATCTGAGCTTTAAAATAGTGCAAAGTTGCGTTTCCGCAGAATTGCGCGCAATTAGAGAAGTGAAAAGCAACATTTGGTGTTCCAATGTTTGCGGCAGAAATACATGTAGTGAACTAAATGAATGACGTAGATTCAGGAAAAAATTCAGCCCGTGAAAATTTGAGTCTGCGACAAAAAAAACTCAAGGTAGCACTTAATGCTTAATTTTAGAAGTGAATCATGTAGTTCTTAATAGATGGTGAAATATATTTCCACATGATGTAGACAGAGAATAATCTTCGAATTGCACGGTCAATGTTTTGGTGCTACGGAACATGTATAAGGTGTGCCAGGAGATTCAGTTTAATTCGGACAACTCGAACAATTCGGAAGGTGGGGAATAAATATTTATTCTTTGAATCGATTATTCATTGCCGATTGATAGAAAACCGCGTGTTGGATAAATCGGGGTTCGTAACGAAAACAACTAATTTTCTACCAACTACGTGCATTTATTAAGAACAAGAACTGCTCGAAAAAGTCATCATTTTCTCGGGTGTGTTTAGCCGCAAAATTACTCAAATATACAACTAAAATAGAAATATCTTGTTTCGGTAAGTGATTTACTGGTTAGTCGTATTTCTATAAATATGTTCCCGATTTTCAAATCTATATTGAACATGTGAGTATTAAATTAGAATCAATTTGGCCATCGGATTTTATCTGCTGGAGATTTCCTTGATGATAAAATGTAGCTAAGAATGTAAGCAACGCACCCATTAAAATGGGGCATTTCTGCCAGACTCCCACGGAAAACACGAATAATTTCTAATAATTAGGCCGGAACCCAAATATCAAAACCACGCGGCGAATCTCGACACAAAAATAAACCTAAACAGATGATGAATAAGACGAATTTAAAATGAGACAATCTATATTTGGACGGGGTCAGTTAATGCTTCAGCTACAAATCTATGTTTTGCGATTCAGAAAGAACATTTTCCTCTAGACTCTGAGTCTGTAGCCGAAGGACTGTTTGTGAAAACATGCAATTTCAGTGCCTCAGTAACAAGTTTAAAATTAAGCTAGTTATTAGTCACTCTGAAAACATTGTGGGGATAATTACAAATATAGATCTCTCTGCGTAGTTAGCGCTTTGTTATTCCTAATCATTGAACCTAAATGCTTAGAATATAAAGACAAACAGTTCCCAAGTTTCAATTTTGCTGTTGTTGATAGGGATGTTTTTGTTTCAGGCGAATATAGAATTGGATTGAAATTCAACGACGAACATGTACCGGACTCTCCTTTCAAGGTTTACATATCTCCAGCCGTTGGAGACGCTCATTTGCTTGAAGTAGCTCAATTTCCAGAAGGCTACATTCAAGCCGACAAACCGTCGCAATTTATTGTCAGAAGAAATGGAGCCAAGGGCGATCTTGATGCAAAGGTGTATATCAGCTTCGTTTTCCACCCAGTTAACAGTTGCAATTGAAACTCGTCAATCAACGGATTTGCGCTTGTTTCAGATCATCAGTCCTTCGGGACATGAGGATGATTGCTTCGTGCAGATCATTGATATGGAAGAATATTCTGTGCGCTTTATGCCACGCGAGAATGGCATTCATAAAATCCATGCCAAGTTCAACGGCGTTCATATTCCTGGATCACCATTCAGTGTTAAAGTCGGAAAGGATACTGCTGATCCTGCTGCCGTTCACGCTCAAGGAAATGGACTAAATAAGGAAGTCAAGACAGGTTAGCTTTCGGTGTTAGCTGAGGAAAAGCTGATGATTTTACTACTTCAACTGTTTGTTTTTTCCAGGTGTGAAGACCGATTTTATAGTAGATACTGTGAGTGCTGGTGCTGGTACGCTGGCAGTGAACATCGATGGGCCAAGTAAAGTTTCAATGGATTGTACTGAAGTCGACGAAGGTTACAAAGTCAGATACACACCAATTGCACCCGGAGACTATTACATTAGTATAAAGTACAACAACGTCCACATAGTGGGATCGCCCTTTAAAGTAACCAGCAAAGGTAAGTGGGAAGAGTTGCAACTAGCGAAGATGTAGAGGTTTTTTGCGCTTCCAGGTGACACCAATGTTGCTGATGTCGGCGGACAAGAGTCCTCCTCAGTGGTTGTAGAAACAGTTCAAAAAATCGGAAAAGGCGCCAACCACAGAGGTCCAGTACTACCCCACTTCAAGAGCGACGCTTCAAAGGTCACTTCCAAAGGAATGGGGTTGAAGAAGGCATATCTGGCAAAGCAAAATCAGTTTACTATTGCGGCCCAAGATGCTGGTAAGTCCTAGATGTTATATTTCCCTTTATATCCATAGGTAGGTAGGCAAAGCGTCCCATAAGCAGATGGTCAAACTGACTCAAGGGCCTAACTTCATTAAGAAAAAATTGGCTCCTTAGATATTGATTATGGACAAATTATGTTCCTCGTAAAAAACTTGCGGTGGATTTGTTTCTTCAAATATTTTATTGAAGCTGAACGCTCATCCGCATTGGGTGAGCTTTCAATTCTTGAGAGCTTTAGTTTCAGGACTGGCAAAACTTTTCTTTGAGAGGTGGAATCAAATCAATAAAAATCTTGTAAAATGAGAGACGCAAAAAATTGCGCGTAAACTATGAATACTGTTACGAGTAAAAACTTTCAAAAACTTAGTTTTAAGGGCGCAAAAATCTCGAAAAAGGATCAATGCACCACTAAAAAAAAGTGATTTCAGCTATCAAGGAAAAGTTCTGATAGTTTTTGTATCCGACACTCCAGAATTTAACATTTTTGCAAAAGATGAGCTACCCAATATTAGCAAAAAACATGTTTTTTTTATTTTGACCATCATCAACAGAAGACATTTTTTCTTAATAAAAACTATTATCTTAATAAAAAATAATAATGGCGTTGAACTAGTTGCTTTTTGTATGTGTTTATATATCTTTTTGTTTTCCAGGACCGAATATATTGTTTGTGGGAGTTCACGGGCCTAAAGGCCCATGTGATGAAGTTTTTATCAAACACAAAGGACGAAACGCGTATGATGTTAACTATATGGTGAGAGATCGGGGGGAATATCTGATTATCGTCAAATGGGGCGACGACCATATTCCAGGATCACCGTTCAAAGTCGATGTGTAAACGTTAAGATTAATTTCTGGTAATTTAGCCCCAACTTATATTTACTTTAAACAAATTTGATTTTGTTTGTTTTGAAGTTTTCCGTTTATTTTGTACATAATAATTTCATTATAATTAAGTAATTAGAGGTGTATTGTACCTTTACTTATTCCATTATGATAACAAAATTTTGTTTTCCATTTGAGATACAGTGTAAAAATATAATGCCATACTTAATTGTTATTTATAAATGCTTATATCGATTCAGGAATAATCTTGTATTTTCGAACGTTATTATTATATGCTACTTTTTTAAATAAATATTTGGTAGATAACAATATGATGTTATTTTGTCCACTAAGCTTTCAACCGAAAGAAGTCAACTTAAAAATATATGCCAAGAGTTCAGTTAAAATTTCTGAGATTGCAAAGGCCGTGGTAACACTGTGCTGAGTTGCACTTTTGAGTTGTTGCCGGTCTCTGAGTTAATGAGTTTTAACTCATCGCTAAATTAGTTATAACTCATTTACCGTAGACCGAAACTGGAATTTTAACATTAAATTTTTAAGACTTAAAAAACTTGTTTCGATTTTGTCGCAAATTCAAAGGTAAAATGGGCATTCTAAAAAGACGATAAAGAAGGCCAGAAGGTTTTGTTCTAAAATCGATCTCTTATTTTTGTTTTCATAAAAGGCTCTCAGTTAGCCAATATTTTAAAGTAAAACGTTAGGAAAAATAGCGTTTTTCTGTTTAGAGAGAGTTTTGTTTAGAAATATTGATCTAACATTGAAGAAACCGGAATTAAAAAACCAAATTATTCACAGCGACGATCGTGGCGAGTTTTCCAAATAATTGTTTATAAACTTTCGCTCGTTCTGTTCGCGGAAATTTTTTGGAAAAACCCAGAAAAAATGATTAGAGTGTCCATTTTCGACGAAATGATTATGGTTCGGCACATTTTTACAAAGCGCTTAAGGAGGCGAGTGTTCCAATAACATTTATTTCATAATTTTTCACAGAAAATACCTGAAGATTGTCAGGATTTTTAAATGAAACTATTGCGATTTTTGCGTAGGAAGAATTGCTTAAAAAACTTTGCTGAAACTGTAAAGTCCTGAGATTTTAGAGAAATTTTAAAAATCTTCAGAGCGATGAGGGTGGCGAAACTTTTGCTCTCTGGTCGATTTTTCGATCGAGACGAAAGATAATCTTAATTACTTTCAGTAAAAAACCATATGAAATAATTAGGTTTTTGTGCCAAATTCGAAGCTGAGAAGGGTTTTCTAAAATTCCCTTCAAAGCGATGCATGCGGCTAATTTTATAATTTTTGAAGACGCCATGATTGTCAAGAAAGGAGAAAAGCATCAGAAAATATTGGTTTTTGCGCTTTTGGTTAAAACCTTTTAGTTTTGTAATCGGTTTTTGAGAAAACCTTAATGATTTTCGGGAAAAAACGGGAGAAATTTATTTTGATCCCGAATCCTACACTCAAAAAAGTTTTTATAAAAATCCTACAATGCTATAAATTTATCAGGGAATTTTTCGCGTAAATGACTTCCAGATTGTCCGTATTTTTTAAATAAAACTCTTCAAAATATAGCGTTTTTGAGTAGAAAGTAAAACAAGAAATAAAATAAGTCAAAACTAAAAACCAACAGTTTGTTTAACAAACTCTGCAGTCTTCAGGGGGGTGGGGTGGCGAGTTTTTTAAATAATGTTTTACACATTTTCTGTTCGTTTTTTGATTTAAAAAATATTTGTTTTTTGTCCCAAATTCGAAGCTGGAAAGGAATTTTAAAACTTTACAAATCAACGAAAATGGCGAGTTCTAATAAAATTTATTTTATAATTTTTCGCAGAAAATACTTTAAGAATGTCAGTATTTTTAAGTGAAACTTGAAAAGTGAGCGTTTAGAAGAAAGAGCTTGCTAAAACTGGAAAATTCTGAAATTTTGAAGAAGCTTTAAAAATATAATTAATGAATGGCCGTTAAAATAAATCTAAAAACAACTAGAAGAAAAGGTCATCAACATTTCCCCAGCAACGGAACCGAGTTACTGCACCGGTGCGTTGGGTTGACGCACCAAGCCATTTGCGCTACACTGCGCCAACTCCTAAAATTCCCTGGGAAATCCTGCCCCATGGTCATGCCAATGAGAAAAAAATATATTGTATTTTCGTACTTTTGCAAAATTTGCAACAGAGCGAAATTTTGGTTTAATGCCTATTGAACCCGATATTTTTCTTAAGCATTCTATTGTTCTCCAACATTGCATTTTCCGAAAAAAACTGCCTTTTTATTAACGTTTCGAAGTTCAAAAGATGTTGAAACTATATACGTTCGATTTGAAAATCCTCCTTTATTTTAATACATTCTAGAGCCTCGTTTTAGCCCCATTCTTGTAGAATCTGAAGTTGAATGCTAATTATCTATTTGTTAAACAGTAAAAAAAATTGCCAGTTAGTTGAGACAAGTACAATTTTTTCAAATATTATACCATCAAAGTATGTTGGGTTGCGGACCACTGTTCTTACTTTATTTTTATGAACGAAAAGAAACTGTTTACCTGCAACCGACCAAATAAAAACATCCAAAACACAAAAACAAGAAATTTAGATTACCTGCAATCGTTGTTTCAGCCGTAAAACCTAAAATTACTGCGAACTATTGGCAACATTCTATAGACTTGTCTCTGTCTATAGCACGAATGACACTATCGACAAGTGCTGTCATACTACAGCGCAACTAGCCGATCATCGGTAATTAATTTGTCAATAAAGCTTTGTTGGAATTTCAGTTTTATAAATAAAATTTCTAAATATGCCATCAAATGAGCAAAAAGCTCAGCTATTGATTGCTGAAGCCGAGAAGAAATTGGGGCCTAGAGGATTTTTTGGGTCACTGTTCGGGTAAGCGGTTTACACATATTGTCTTGTCCTGAGTGCGATTAGAAAGGGTTCATTAAATTCAGTTTTAATTTTAACGATTTGGATCATTTAGGGGATCCAGTCGTGTGGAAGATGCAGTCGAATGTTATCAACGTGCTGCCAATTTGTTTAAAATGGCAAAGAATTGGGTGTCAGCAGGGAGTGCCTTTTGTGAGGCTGCAACCTTACATCTGAGAAGTGGGGCTCGACATGAAGCTGCCACTAATTATGTAGATGCGGCCAATTGCTACAAGAAGTCGAATATCAATGGTAAGTGACCAATCTTTAATATAATCCTAAAGTGATATCACTGTTTGTACAATAAGGAGAAGGCTAAATGCGTCAGAAATATCGTTAAACGGCTGTAATTTGGTTTATTTACTAGTGAATATTTTCAGCGTTGTATCAAATATACAAACATCCTTACCATGTATTTGTTAAGACATGCACTAATAAGTAGACCATAAAATGTTGCGTTGGAAAAGTTTCAGGATATATTGAAACATGTACAGTACTTCCAAGTATTGTGTTTGTTGTCAATACATATCCTCGCTTAGATATGGTTATGCGAACTATACAGCTCAACTTGTGCGCGTTATCATTAATTAACAATTCCCTTTTACTAAACTTGAGTATGGTGTGGTTTTGGACTTGGTGGTATTTACTAACATCTATTTATAATGCTTCGATAGACTCTGTGAAATTTTTCTGTAGGTAAGTAACATGTCGAAAAAATGTGTTTTTCTTTTAGTTGCATCCTTATTGATTGCACTGAAAAGCTTGCCATTTTTTTCAATGATTTTACTTTGTACTTTCCACATACCAACCTCCCAACCACTGCAGTCGCATGTTTTTTGTATCTATTATTTATCCAAATATGCCAACTCACGTCCCTTCACACTTCTATTATTAGCAAATGAATCACAGTTGAATACAAAAAAACAGAGAACTCTTAGTATGAGCTTGTAGATGTAGTAATTAGGCATTATTTTATGTTTAATTTTAGTTCTCATTTGGTCTAATTATATTTTGCTTGTTTCAGAGGCAGTCACCTGTTATTTAAAAGCTATAGAACTTTACACTGATATGGGTAGATTTTCTATAGCGGCGAAACATCATCAAAATATAGCCGAAGTATATGAAACAGAGTCCATAGACATTGATAAGGCTGTTCAACACTATGAGCAAGCCGCCGATTATTTTCGAGGAGAAGAAAGCAACAGTTCAGCGAATAAATGTTATCTCAAAGTAGCGCAATATGCCGCTCAACTTGAAAATTACGCAAAAGCGATTCAGATCTACCAAGAAGTTGCAACGAATTCATTGGAGAGCTCATTATTGAAATACAGCGCTAAGGATTACTTTTTTCGAGCCGCTTTATGTCAACTATGCATCGACCATTTAAATGCCCAGCACGCCTTAGACCGTTACTTACAACAATATCCAGCATTCCAGGATTCTAGAGAATACAAATTCATTAAAGCACTAATTGAACAGATTGAAGAACAAAATGTAGACGGCTTTACTGAAGCCGTGAAAGATTACGACAATATCTCACGTCTGGATCCATGGTACACTACTTTATTGCTGCGAGTTAAAAAGCAACTCAATGGAGATCCAAACTTGTGTTAGACTAGACAATGAGCCTTTAAACAACTTTTGTTAACGTGTCTTGATATTTTATTTATTGTTACATTATTCTTAGTAATTTTTTGTTAATATTATTTGGTTTCTGTAGAAGAAATCAGAGGTCGTCTAATGTATTTGATATAAATAGTCGCAGTATGCTATTTTTCTATTGGGTCATTATGTTTTGAGAATTTTTTGCTCGAAATAGTCGTCATTATCTTCGTATAGCATGTATATATGGAAATTTTCTACTATGTCGAATTCCAGTCAGGACCATTCCTAATAAATCTTTCTCACCACATCGACACTTGTTTGCATCTCTGCCTATCCCAGATTCAAGCCGTACGTGTAAATTGAAAAGGATGGTTTTTTGTTGCAGAGGCAGTCAGTTGTTTGTTGAAAGCCATAGAAATCTATACCGATATGGGTAAATTTACTATGGCTGCTAAGCATCATCAAGCAATCGCTGAACTTTACGAATCCGAGTCGACAGACTTTGAAAAAGCAGTTGTACACTATGATACAGCTGCTGATTTCTTTAGAGGCGAGGAGAATAATGCTTCGGCCAACAAATGTTTGTTGAAAGTAGCACAATATTCCGCTCAACTTGAGAACTACGAGAAAGCTATTCGTATTTATGAAGACGTAGCCACATCATCTTTAGAGAATTCTCTATTAAAGTATAGTGCTAAAGAATACATGTTTCGAGCTGCTCTATGCCATCTTTGTGTGGACGTTTTAAATGCACAGCATGCTCTAGAGCGTTATTTACAACAATACCCAGCTTTCCAGGACTGTAGGGAATACAAATTGGTTAAAACCTTGATTGAACACATTGAAGAACAGAATTTGGATGGGTTTACCGACACCGTTAAAGACTACGACGAAATATCACGTTTAGATCAATGGTTCACTACAATTTTGTTAAAAATTAAAAAACAATTAAATGATAACCCAGATCTCCGTTGAAAATTTTCCACGAATAATCCTCTTTGTATTTATATTGCTTATTTCCGTCAGCAACTAGAAGTTGATAAGGCTTTCGCGAGTCATTCTTTTAACTTAGATTTAATCGTTCTATTATTTATAAGTGCGAATATTAAACGAACATTTTAACATTATTAGTGTTAACATTTCGTTCACCATTTAGTCTAAAACAATATTCAAGTTACTTAATTGATAAATGATTCAGCTTTTGATTATTATTGTAGTGACACAAAAATTTTATAGCGGTATTTTCTAATATATTGTTTTGATACTCCATATTTGCAGTATTAGTAATGCTTAAACAGTGCGCAACTTTTAATGAGTCTCATAAAATCTCAGTTTTTCTAGTACCTATTTATTTAGTTGGGAACTTTTTAAAATCGATTTATAAACAACGTGCATAATTAGGCTCAGCCACAAGGCACCGTCATAGATCTTCTTAATAATTGTGAAAACATTAATTCTGGCATTAAAAAGTTTTCGGCCTTAAGGTTCATTCCAACGTTTCGGAAACACGCAAAGCTTGCACTTTCAGAGCGTCGTCCCGAAAAACGTTGGCAACTATCGGAATCTGATAAATATACTTGCAGCAATAAAATATTTATGTGAACAAAAATCAAGAAAAACAATGTTATGTCTGTCTTAGTAGTAATTAAAATAAGCATTTAATATAATAAGCAGTTAAATATTTTGTTATTTACGTTAACCTCGGTAGTTATAAGTTAAAAATATGATAGTGTATATACGAATTTGTTGTGAGACATACCTCCTGTTAGTCATTCATTGTTGAGCTTTGTAAATGAGACAATTTTACTGCCCGCGTCATCATTGTGAGCCATCCAGCCACATTTTCAATTTTGTATTGTCCGAAAGTTTAAACACATAGCACCTTTTAAAAATTATACTAAACGTAGGCTTTCTAGATTGAAATTACCAGTTTAAAATTAATCATTTTATTGCATGTATGAAAAGTAACCATTTAGCAGAAGCTGAGGATCATATTGATTTTAAAAAATGTATTGTATGTGTATTAGAACAACAGGATACTTATATGATATATCTAGTGATTCAGTCAACGATATCAAATTAATGCTGTATATAATCGTAGATGGCATAATAAAGGTATATTTAAAAACAGACGTTTTTAATAACAACTCCAGTAGTCTGATCTCATTTTTATCTAAAAATGCAAATCTGTTTTTGGAATCTGTGGCAAAAACATTAAGATTTTTTTACTTTAAAACCATTGTGTGCGGTTTCTCGTTTTGATTTACTAAATGGAAGACTATTGTCTTAACGTTGCCCATAAATATATCACGTCGATAAAACTAACATAAAACACTTAAATTGATTTAGAAAAACCCATTTTTTGCGGGATTCCTTCACCTTTTTACTCTACCGAAATAAATAAATTATTAAATCACTTCCGGCAAGCTTAAACTTTTGTGTTCGTCTCGTATTGTTGAACACCCAAAATGATGTTTCAAAACCAAAATAAGAATAAAAGTAAAGCTGTTCGGGCTTATCAATGTGTCTATTGAGATTACGTGCGGAACTAATAGCGCAATTTCAGTTTAACGCATTTTCCTGTAATAAAATTGTTTATATTTCAACTGAAAAACAGTATTAGCCACGAACGTATATATGTAGTTAAATTAGTGTGAAACACAATTTTTTTAATGATTCACTGGCTTTCATTTAGGATTTCGCACGTTGATTTTTCATTGCGGGATAATATCGTGATCAATATTTTCAAGCAGCTTTACTTGTTGACGCAGTAAAAACGAAGCCCATTTTCCAATTTGCAAAATAAGAGTCTTGTTTGCGAAATAACGCATGGCTTCATTAAATTGAATCAAGCAGTAATTAATGTGGGTTGATGAAACCAAAAAAATTGATGTCTAAAACTGCCAATTTAACTTCGATCTCAATGAACAACTCGTGGTATTTTGGGATTTTCAAACACTCAATCAGTAATAAATATGTTAAAGTTTTCTGAACCAATTGTCAAAATTTAAAGAAAACCCAAGAATTCATCGACGGTTTAGGTTCAGAACCAGCACTTCTGAAGAAGTAGAAACACTGCTGTTGTTCAATATATTTCCACTCAATACGTTTTTTTATTCGCGTACGTATTCCATTGCGTGAAACTTGCGAGTTTTTCGGGGTTTAGGGCCTCTTGCAAAATAATTTGTTACTTCTCTCATTTTAAGAGGTATTTCCCTCGAAAGCTTACATGATCAAGTGTAAGCGTTCCGTATTTTCACGTCGTTTTCCTATATTTTTACGTCTTTCTCACGTTAGGCGCTAGCTGGGTACCATAGGGGGGTACACGAGGGCTTCTTTAAGTTGAAATATATATCAAACAAGGCAGGGCTTCAATCCGAAACTGGCGCGGAAAATCCGGGACGAATAAAGAAAAATCTTTCCTAGAAGCCCCAGTTATGTGAGTTGGGACTGATAGATATATTTATGTACGAGATAAGATTGTATATTTGAAAGTAATAAAGAAGGTCATGAGATCCACGCCAATGGAATAATGTAGCGTTATCAACAAAAAAGCATTGACCAGTGGGCAACAACAGCGATTGGTGGAACATTCACAAGCTGACGGGTAAACAGGAATTAATTACAAATTCCAAAACCCAATACCTATTTCGGAACCTTACATAGTTAAAGCATCCATTGGGTTTTTCCGCGTTTAGTTCTGACATCGTTAAAGCAAAAAAATGTTGCTCGAATAATGTTTATGAGTTTACATTTAGTCACGATTGTGTTGCAGAGTTTGTATGCGATTATAAACGTAGTTCGGTGTACCTGAAGTCAGATTCATCCCGAGCGTGCTACAGATCGAACAGAGTGAATTGTTGCTTCAAAAGTCGTCACGGTCAACTTTACCACAATTCGAAACCGGCATGAGATCGAAGTAGGACAGCAAGAAAAGATTCGTCCTCAAGTTTAAGTTTGTAAACAATTGTACCTATACATGACTGAATTCTACCGCGCTAAGTTCTCGTAGATAGATAGTTTAACATGCAGTTCCACATATGTAAGTATATTAGCGCTTTAACTTGCATTCGTACATCAAAGAAATCAATTAAAATGGTAATTATACAGGAAAATAGTGAAGCTAATGTCTATTCCGGTTAAGTAATCGCTATTAATATTTTAAACAAGTTTCCAAGCAAATATAATGAAAACCATTAAATCAATTAGCAATCAGGAAAATGATTTGCTGTTTTTATTTTTATACCAAACGATTCAAATCTCTTCATTTACTAAAACCTTTTAGTTTTTTACTGTAGGCTAAAGCCAGTGGAAGACCCAAACATTTAAAATAAATCATGAACACTGACTACAGTCGTAGTATAAAATAATTTCTGGTTCAAGTACTTCCATTAATAACACGAGTTTTTTCTAAAACGAGTTTTTCTTGGCACGCGATATCAACTTTTACGGGGTAATGGATGTGCGGTCAGAGACGCAGAATTTTTTGGGGATTCACTTCGGGAACTAAAATCGTTCTTTACGCTTCAAAAGGCATTACTAATGCTGAAAACCAGTCGCGAGACAAATAAAAAACTTAAAAAAATATATAAAATTGTGTGAAATTAGATATCCAGATGATGATTAGCAAATTACAAGCTTGAAACTCGTTTAATAAGTTTAGAGTGGAAAAATCACACACTTTTTTACGTTCCTAAAAGCCATTCCACAGCTTCGACCTACCCTAGAAAAAAAAATTTATTAACTTAAATTGATTGAAGAACATTAAATATTCCTACAGTCGTGCCCATCGGAATAGTGCTGTCTATCGCAGCCCCAGTATTTCTACAAGAAAAATTTAATATCGCTGAATCAATCAACCAGTTTTCGCTTGAACTACTAGCGGTAAGTGAGAAAGTATTCATAGGCAAGGGCATAAAAAACATGACTGAAAAAAATTAAATACGCACAGTATTATTTCCGATTCAGGCAGTAAATAAAGAAGGCGGTGAAAATTTAAATGTGGCTCTTTCGCCACTCACTGTATGGACGCTCTTTACGGTGATATCAGAAGGATCATTGGATGCCACTGCTGAACAGATTGATCGGGTTTTAGGGCAGCCTCTAAATAAGAACATCGTGAGAGACGCATACCAAAGACTGAGCGGAATACTGTTGCAGGTAATTTGCTTGTGCTTAGTTAAACTAGTCAGGAACAGTTATTTCAGACCAAATCAGCAGAGACCCAATTGGAGACTTCCACTGGTCTGTTCACCAGGTCAGAGTTTCCGGTCAAGGAAAAATTCGAACAGGTGGTTAAGCAGTATTATGATGCTGTTGTATCACCTGTAGATTTTAAAAACAGTGCTGCATCTGCAGATATTATCAACAAATATGTAGAACAGGCTACGAAGAACCGAATACCACTGTTGGTGAATCCCGGTAAGTATCTATAAATTGTCTGAAGCAATATTTTGCATGGCAACTTTCCTTGCAGCCGATGTAGAGAATGCCTATCTCTTTATCACCACCACAATGTACTTCAGAGGCGAATGGCAGACTCCTTTCAACCGAAGTGCCACTAAACGGGACGCCTTTTACGATGAAAAAAGGAACAAAATCGGAGAGGTTCAAATGATGTACCAAGCACATCCTTTCGCCTATTACCGCAATGAAAAAATCAAAGCTGATGCGATTGAACTACCTTATGGCTTTGTAAGTTAAGCTATCACCTGACTGCATGGCATAAAGAACATCTTTTGCAGGACGACACTTTTTCCATGCTGGTGTTGGTACCGCGGGGCTTTCAAACCCTCACAAATATGCTAAACGCGCTAACCAAAGAACCGATGACTGAAATTTTAGCCGAACTGAAAATGAAACACCAAATGTTTTCTGATGATGACACCCATGTGTATTTGCCGAAATTTAAGCTCGCATCCGACTTCAATTTGGACGGGGTTTTAGAAAAAGTAAGTAGTTCCACTCCTTCCATAACCCACGCTTACTTTCTACATTATTACTTCTTTAACTAACTACGATTTAAATTTCAGATGGGAATTCGAGATGTGTTTAACCCACAAAAAGCAAATCTTTTAGGAATGTATTCACACTACTTGTATATATCTCGAGTTATTCAAAAGGCTGAAATTGAGGTGGATGAAGAAGGAACTGTCGCATCTGCTGCAGCAGGTAAACTACTTGAAAGTTAAAGAGCGAAACAATTTCTCAATTACTAAAACGGTTCCAGGTTCAACCTTTTTGAATAGAACACCACCACCCGTTGTTAAAGCAAACCGACCTTTCGCCTTTTTCATCGTGCATAAACAAAGTGGAAGTATTATTTTTGCTGGTAAAATCAGCAATCCAAATGCCTTATCTAAGTAGCAGAGCCCACTCCAATATATTTATATACACTAAGTTATTAAATAGAAAATGTGTTTAAACTGTGTATTATTGACAAGATGCCGAATGCTCTAGGGACGCCCTCATTCATAAACTGCATATTCTGTATTGTTTTTCGTTTATTATAGAGTATAAAAATAATCACAGTATATTACTCAGGCTCCAATCAATAAATTCTCCTTTCATGTATATTGCACTTAATTTTGAATGAAAACCCTACCAACATCTAATGCATAACTCTTATTACCATGCTCTTAAAACTATTATTTCCACACTGTAAATGTGTCGAGTGTTCGTTTAAAGATCTATCAGAAGTACATATCCATGCACGCCCAAGTTGCGATTCACTTGATATTCTGATTAAAATGACTAGATATTCACGATGATACGCCGCACTATGCATTGAAATGATAAAGTCCGCTGAAAGATAGTAACGTTCGATTATTTTTTACTTCAGACATTGCTTGAGCGTGCATGAATTCGCAGTTCAGTAATGTAGAATGAGTCATCACAAAAAAATAGTTAACACTTTTTATTACATGTTTGTACTTACAAGTACTGTGTGTAACAGTGGCAAGACCAAAACACTTATTAAACACGTACAAGTGCCAAAATAATAACTTACCCACGTAATCAAACAATACACTTTTGAGCATAGAAATTACTTTTTATTGACTTTTTCACGCATTTGACGCGATTTGAAAAAGATATGTTAGCAACAAAAGACAGACTTGCTATTTAACTCGAAAAATTGTGTAATCCACAATAAAATTATAAAAAGCTTCAAATATAGAAGGGCAAACTTGAGATGAAGCGACAATTTCTATGCTCGTAGCATAAAGAGGTACTTAATGTTTGCAATACTGTTACGAAATTTAGCTGCCAGTTTGTAAAGTAACTTATTTTATTAAACTTGAAGCCAGTTTTGATGCAGGTTTACAATGTAAAAGATGTAAATCTGACCGTTGCAAAAGTGATATGCTTACTGGTTATCGTCAATTAACTAATATAAGCTACTTAATACTAAATAAAAAGTATAATTACCCCTTTTTGAGCTAAGGTTGCAGCTATTGTCGAAACACTAGAATAGAAATTGTTGCACAGATAACTGCTTAAATCTTTCAATTCGTTAATTACAACTAGGTACAATGAGTACCTATTATAGAAGGACGGTCGAGTATATTGTAATCTTTCTTACTACAGTTAAAAGGCTTGTATCTACAAACTTCATTGTAAAATATAGTCCTTATAGTTTTTTAGACTTTTCATTTGCTTTTTTAATTGCTTAATCAAGTCAAGTGGCTGCACTAAAACTGAAATATCTCTACCAACAGAATTAAGCCTATCACGAATTTGATTTTTCTTAAAAAATAAATTCAATGGACGCCCATTTATTTCAGTAAGTACCCAATTAGTAAAACTGGTACCATCACACGACTTGGTTTTGGAAGTTAAACCGTGTCTAGCTGCCAAACTATTTGGTTGAATGCTCTCTATAACTGCCGTATTATTTTCTTGAATTATTCCTAAAGACTGACCCTCAGTCTCTCTATGTATTACAAAAACTCTGCCATGAGGTAGCCGCCTTACTATTATATTAACCTGAAAATTGCACAGTGGAAAATCGTATTTCGCTTTTTCCTTCAAATTGCGGAAGAAAAATGATAAATTTCAAACGATATTAGCCATGCATTGAGGCAACAAATCCTTAAATATTTGCGTAACATTTAGAGCTTCGGAGAGAAAAAGCAGAGCGAATATTTACATTTTCAATTCATGAAATAAAATTTACTTACATAAAGACCACAGTAATGAGATTGTAGAATTCTATGTGCATCCGCTGCTGATTTTACATTAATTCCGTCAATATTAATCAGTCTATCTCCTATGTGCAGTGCATTGTACAGCATAGGGTGTTCCTTCTGCTTCCAGCCACAAATCCTTTAAAATAAGAATTAATATGAGTGCTCATATCATTTCGCCCAATGGTTTACAGAAACAAAAGAAAACAATAGTTAAGGACGCTAGAAGCATATACTTAGTAATATATATAAGGTGTTAGGAGTTCTTGGGATAGGAGGAGGAGGACTTGGACTTGGGGCAACTCTTCCACCCTTAAATATAGTTTAATGCATAGCTGAATTATAACATACCAGACTGCATCAAACGCATCAACAAATCCAATTGAGCTAATACAGTCTTTTTTCCTTAGTTGCACTTTCACTCCTGTTGGATGCTTAATTTCCTTCTCTAACATTAACACTTGCTGCTCTCTTAAAGTCTTATAGGGTTGGGGTGCTGGTTGTAAAATTCGAGGCGAGCAACTAGCCGATCTTTCTAACAGTCTATTGGTTACACTTGCTTCAGTTCTTACAAGTTGCCTTGTGTCATTATTTCTATTGGACGGACCTGGTTGAAACAAGTGCTCATAATGGACATTATTGCTCGAAGTTGAAGTGGTTGGTTCAATAGCGCAATTAAATGAATCGAAATTAAATACTCGATTGGAACTGGCTCCTGCACTCTGAGGTTCATTGATATTATTCGATCTTCTTGACATTGCACTGCTCTGAGACTCAGATCTTCTTCTTTGATATGTTATGCTTTCACTGGGCCTATTAGCGGTTATTTCACTATTAGAGCGTTCGACTCCTGGTAAAATCTCTGTTGGGCCTGCAGGTGGAGGTGGCAATGGAGAGTTGGGATCCCTAGTTGGTAAGAGAGACGCTGTCTGCTTCTCAGGCAACTTGGTATAAACATTTTCTCTTGGACTCAATATTCGTAACTCTGAAAGTTTCGACTTCAGGCCTTCAACCCAGTCGAGCATCTGTTCCCAAGTAGGAGCTGCCAATCTTACAACTTCTGAGGATAATGTTAAAACAAACTCATAATCTTGCTCATGGGCACATATGGTTGGGGAAATATGCTGGACGCTATTTAATGAAACAAACCATTCAGGTTTATGAAAAACTGCTACTTTGTTGTCACTGTATGTTTCTAAATAGGCATCAGTGTCATCATGCACACAGAAAACAACCCATAGCTTCTCTCTTTTCTAGAAACAAATTTTTCATTCACCTAGAGAAGCCTTGAGAAAGTTGTCGCATACTTACCTTTTTAGGATTGCTGGGTGAAATCTTTTTAAGCCAGGTATTTTTGTGTATTTCTCTAAACATAGGGTTTTCAAAAGGTTGTCGGTGCTGTTGAGCCATGCTAATTTTCAAGGGAATTGTCGGCCCCAGAAATGAGTAATATCATAACATTGCACATACAGATCTTTGCATATCTAAGAAGTACATTTAATTGCTAAAAGTTTAATTACAACACACTACTACATAAAAACTGAGGTTGCTTAAGGATACATTTCAATAATTTGTTTTCCAAATGTCAGTTTACTTCTGTCAACTTTTGTCAGTATAAGGGAGGTGGCTCCGAACTTGCCTCCACTTGACGCGGTGGAGCTCAAATAATAAACGCTGATTTAAAAAAAATTGTTCAAATTAATTACTTTAGTTTTAAATAGTATTACTATTGGCTCCTGTGAGGGTTTGTATTCATTTTCCAAAGTCTTTAAGAAGAATTGTAAATAATTAATAACTGAATAAAATTATATTTAAAATTTAAAAACTAATCTCGAAAATTAAGAAACATTTTTACGACTAAACATATATATCAAAGCATTTGTAAATAGATTGTGCGGCACGCCAAACAAACATCACTCAGTTGAAATGAGCGATAAAGTTGTTATGAGTTGATACATTTTAAAGATTCAGTTTCGTTTCCGCGTTTCTCGTTAGCTCAATTTAGAGTTAATAATAATGGTGTAATTAATTTTATTACTGCGCTTAAAAATGTTTTTAATAATCTTAGCCTATAATCTAGAATTCAATTATCATTAAAACTGGAAGAAACCCGTTTGAAAATTTGCCCTTTACCACCTAATTTTTCACTTGAATTCCAAACCAACAAGTCTAAATGGCAAAAATTAACATAAATAAATAATATTTTTATAAATATTTGAAACGGATCAGAGTTTAATTCAATAACATGTGCATAGTCCAAGTGCAAATTCAACTGGCCGAAAAATTTAGTCAATACCGACTGTATAAAACGTGAAAGTTTTTTTTGCAAAAGTACCGATTTGGGTTAAAGTTGTTCAGCATGTGGAAGCTAAATATATGACTTTTTTATTCAACTTTATTTACATTGTAATCTAATTGTGTGTTTTTCCGAAATTTCTATTTATAATGAGTAAATACCCATACTCTATTCATTAACAATATATATATCGAAACATGCAATGAGTGTCTGGAGCAAATTATGGTACAAATAAGTTTACCACGTTTTGCTCTGATCACACAACTAAAGATAAGCTAGAATGAAAAAAACTTCCATAATTTACATATTTTAGTAATGATCACAGTCATATTGTAAGTTGATTTTGAAAGAATTACAATCACTGACTAGATATTTCATCATATTGCGTTCATGACATATAAATTTTTCTGAAATATTAGCTGGATGCGTGATATAACAAGGAACAGATATCAATTACTACTAATAACCTTTGACACTTGAATATAATAATAATGCGTAATTTTTTTCATGCGATATTTGGCAATAGCAATACAGTCTATTATATTAATGAGATAGTAATTTCGAAAAAAAAAACACCTATTTCAAATGTCTCGGATGAAACAGTGCATTAGAAAAATGCATGTATTTTTCAATGCGATTGTTAAGCGACATCCTTTCTGCAAAATCTATCCGCTAAAGCGGAGCGCACCATTTCGGTAGATCATCAAATAATACACAATTCGCGCAGTGAGTACCTAAATCTCCAAAAGTTTTATGTATATCGCTAAAGAAAATTCAACTTCTTGACCTGATAATCACACTAATTTCAGCCCACAATTCTATATCAATAACACGAGCTGAGCGTACTTGTCGATAATTTTGTATAAATTGGCACGATATCAGTATTTGCCACACGTCTCACAAATATTTCAACTAATTTTTTAGTTAAATATTTATTCCGGCTTTCTAGTAGAAATTTACGCGCCTGTATCACGCTCGCTGCGCACAGCACTTCGAAAAGTGTGCAAATTTGAATTTGGCGCTCAGAAAGAAAAACAAACAACGTCACGGGAATACAGCAAATAACGCATGCAAAGATGCAGGTCCAAATAATACTTAATAATGGCTCTTACGTAACTATGAACAGTTTAAAAGAGAAATTGGAATACCGTTGGTATTTAAAAAAAAGTAAGCAAGAGCATAAAGTATAAAAAAACTCCCATTTCTAAGGGCATTTTGGACTATACTCAGCGCTGGATCTAAGTCTCCTAAGCTAAGATTTTTTGAAAAAATTAAAATTTTCTGAGAATTTTTTTGTGAAAAATGCCAACATTTTTCAAGCAATAAAGTGCCAGTTAGTGCTCTATTAAGTAGTGTAGAAAAGCGCGGTCTAGCTCAATCTG